ATATGATTCCACTTCATAAAAAATCTTTTTAAATCCAAATAAACAAACCACATACACCATATTTTCTTGTATGGCAAAATGATGCAGTTTTTGTAGTAATTGTTTTTCAACTAAACACTGAATTTACATTGAAAATATATTTCCTACAATATAATGACAAATATTCAAACAACACATTTGAAGTTGATTTCCTGCAGTAAATATTTCATGCAATATTTACCGCTGCAACATTTGCTGTAGTTTATTTTTGCAGCAAATCAAACATCTACTTATATTTATTTACCTTAAGGAAAATGCTAGTCATATTACAAATGTTACACTACTTTTATATTGTTGCTAACAAATACATAGGATCCTTCTTTAAAAATTGTCAATAGAGATTGTTATTCATCATATTTTTTTAGTATAAAAGTAATATAGAATTTATAGCATAGTTATTACTACTAATCTTTTTAGTCTATGTTTGGATTAGGACCTTTTAATATGTGGATTAATTTAACACGCCATAGTCTTAGGATATGATAGTCCAACGGACTACAGTGAGTTAAATTTTTAATAATATATTTTGTTCAAATTGTTATTAACACCTTTAATACATATGTCATGTTTGGAAACTTGTTAACATAAGGGGTATAAGATTAAAACATAACAGTAAATGTCCATAGTGCCCTCTCCATATCAGCAAAGTACTTAAGGAGTTTGTTTGTAATTTTTAGATTTTTAGGGGATTGTTGTAATTCATATTTCTAAAGATGATGTTTGTAGTTTTCATATATTCTTATTTTTTTTGTAATTTCCCAAACTTTAAAGGGACTGTTTGCAATTTTTGAACTTTTAAGATTGTTTTTAATTTTTGTAATTCAGGGGTTGTTTATAATTTTTAAAATTTTAAGTTGTTATTTGTAATATTTAAAACTTTTGGAGGGTAGTTTATTATTTTTAAATTTTCAAGTGCTGTTAAAAAGCTTGCATATTTTTTAAGGGTTGTCGCAATTTAGTTATTTTAGGGGGTTATTTGTAATATTTCTATTCTTACTTCTTGTTTCATAGTTTTTAGAATTTTCAAGTTATTGCTTTAATTTTCAGATTGCGGGGCTCTTTGTAATTTTTTATTTCTTTTTGGGGATGTTTGCAATTTTTAGATATTTCTATTTTGGCAAAAGATGGTTCCAAATATCGGTGGTAACAAATGTCTAGATTTTTTTGAGGGGGGCGGGGGAGGGGTGGTAATATGCAAATAAGGATGATTAATGAGTATAAGTAATCGAGGTGGGGATAGACGAATGAGATGATTAATTTGCAATTGCAGTGGATAAGGGAAATGATTGTGAATGAAAAATCTTAATAACTTTTAGAAAGTTAATGGATAATAACGACATCTTATATCTAACCCCGAATGAGAAATAGTCTCAGGATTGTAAAAACACCCCCTCTTCCCCCTGTTATTAACTCAAAGAGAGGCACTAGGGGCACACCCTCTACGACACCACCTCTTTTGCTACAGTGCACGGGGCCCAAATGAGAATTTAATTTTTAAAATCTCATGTGGGTCATTTGCACTGTAGCAAGAGAGCTAGTGTGATTAGGAGTGTGATAGAGGATGTGCCACTATCATTATTTTAACTAAAAATAATACCCAATACAAGTGTAGCCTTAATATATGTCCTTTTCGAGGTATCTAGCGTCAGTGATGGAGTGGGAATTCAAATAATAATAGATGAAAATAGACTCCCTTGCTCAGCATGAACATTTCCTTGAACAACACTACTATTTGGCTTGCGCTTTAACGCGCGAGCCAACTAGCACAGAAATAGGGGTGTGGGCCCCATTGGCACAGTGGGTTTCATCCCTTTTATCTCTGCACGAGTTGGCTCGCGCTAACGCCGCGCGAGCCAAAAAGCGTTTTCCTTTCTTGAATTGATGGCGACTCAGTCTACCTCTCCTCATACCGAATCCGCCGAAAACTTTACTTGAAAATTCGTTAGTAAAGGAGCTTTGATGTGAAATGCAGTCGTTTTAGTCTTCTCTATAATAATTATTAATGAGATACTTGATATCATAGCACATAGTTTTGATGAATCTTCACTAGGCAGAACAACTTTATATCATGCAGAATATTAAACTAATAAAGTAGAAAGCGACAAATAAACAAATCACAATTTGGGAGCTAAGGAACTCTTATCAGTTTTGCCCAACATGAATAGTTTGTTGCGACTGATGCTTTGAGAAACCAAACCAACGAACGCCGAGAGAA